GAAGAGGAGCAAATGAGCGGTTGCCTTTGCGTGGAATATTTAGATTGCCAAGTCCCGCAAGATATGACAACAGAAGTAAAGGTACTTCTTTGGGCTAAAGAATACTTGATTTGCTCGACAGGAAGTAAAATGTACATCAGGGTTTGACTACTATCTGACAATTTGTTTATTGTAGATGTATGCTTTTGCCAGTTGCCCTGGCTACTGATGCAACATATGAACATACTCGTCCAAGGTAGGTGAACACTGTAATGAGTAGGTTTCGATACTATCAGTCGAGTGACTAAAGCTCTTAGTTAAGCTCTCTGTATGCCTACAGTCGGCTATTTAATCCAACAAGACTAATTCGATGGCAGCGCTATGTAAGTGCTGTGTAGGCGAACGGTGACAACTACAAGGCACGACGCATCACCACCATTCTGGGGGAAGTTGGGCCGCCCAATACTCACGCAAGAGGTTGCATATGATTTCCAAAATGCTCTGTTCAAGGATGTAAGGGTAGTCTTGTGTGCGACATTTGAGGAGGATTACCACAGTTTGGGAGAGAACTCTGTGTTCGGTTCTTAGGGGGTCTGCTCGTGTGTATTCGAATGTGTGTGCGAATAAGAGGGCGGGGTCCGAGGTCAGTCGGGAACGCGAACAAAAGTCTCCCTACTGTTGTTCTGCGGTCGTCGAGCGAAGGGTGGCTCAACTTCTCGGCCAGCCCAGCACTAAGCCAAGGGTATCTGACACACAAAGCACTATCGAGCAATGTCAGCATGACATCTGGGCAGGAGAAGAGGGGGCATTTTGAACAAAAGACAACTACCGTGACGGTTAAAAGCCAGAGCGCAGCAAGGAGAAGGGCGGGGAGACGGAAAGAGAGTATTTGTAAGAGTTGAGTAAACAAGATTATGGATGAAGACGAGCGCACGTGTATACACACGACAGCAAACATTCGCCGGGTCAAAGTCGCATATCTCTTGCCATTTGCATGGACTAGGGATATAAGGGCTTCGGGAGACCAAGTTACCAAATGAATGCTTTAAAAGTGCCAAATTATAACAAAAATATTTCCGAAGCTAATGCTTAGCTGACTATGCTTTAATCAGATAAACAAATTACTAAATAATAACAGTATCTAGCCGATACTTCGATCCATTTTTGCACCAGATACTAGGGAAAATGTTTACTGAACTTGACAACCAGACACAATGAGGGGTGGACGGTTTAAATGCGCGGTAAACAAGCTTTGCTACGGGATCAAACTT